CAATAACAAAAACATATCCTACGAACATTTCCAATAACAACAACATATCCTACGAACATTTCCAATAACAACAACATATCCTACGAACATTTCCAATAACCACAACAAGCCGGCAACATTCCCAGCAACGATACATCGTTGAGGCAATAACACTTCATCGCATTCCTGTTGTCAACGCGGAACCGACTTAGGTTTACGTGCCAACCAGGTGGCAGCCGCACTCGGGTAATTACCCCCGCGTCGCCCCGCCGTAACACGCTATTGTTCTTCTATATACACGACAACGCTGGATATTAGACTTATTCCAAAAGTCGTCCGTCTGCCGTCATCTTGCTCGTCACACACACTCATCACACGCTTGCCATGACTTACGGTGTCAGTCTATAGGTGGCATATATAGATTGTGACGCTTTCCGCAGTAAGGAGTAATAAAACACCTTGACAGCGATGTTACGCCCCGCCTGTTCGACAGCAGTCACGCCCACAGGTACACGCGGAGAGACGTGACCGCCCCCATCCACACACACGACAACGAATACACCCATCGGTTAGTGAGACGCACTTGACCTAATGACTTCGTGACTTCGCTGCCGCGAATAATTATCATATTGAATGAAATGAGTTTTTCAACACGCACGCACCGCAGGCTCCTGGTCGAAACGGACACGTGTGTAAGGGGCCACGACCTTTCCCAGCCTATAGTTTCGTCACAGGGTGACAGATGAAGCTATTCCTGATTCGTTCATATGATCTGATTTCGCTAGGCGTGAGAGAATTATTGCGTGGGCCGGCGAATGCGTTATTTACGCGATGCACTATGAGCTCTAGCGGCAGGTTTGTGCAGCTTTCTGCGCGCTTTGTTTGGTGGCGGATGATAAAGTTAATGGTTATATGCAAGATAATGTAATAATGGGGTTAATGGGCTCTTGTTATATGGTAGTGCCGCCGGGGCACCAGTTATAAATGCAAAGTGTTGCTTCAGTTGCCAGCCTAACTGTAAGTATATGTAATCACATTATCGGTCAAACGAAACCGAAGACGTGATGCTATTAGAAATGGCTGACACATCTGTATCTAAAGATTTCTAGTGCTTTCTAGGTCATGACCTCGCAAACGCGGATTTAAATTTTGGAGATTGTTTATGCACGGAATTCCATGCGACTATGCGATGGAATTTCAAAGGCTTAGGCATTTTCAGAGGATTCACCTACATTCGCTAGTCAACAGTAACATCGCCATGTTTTACACATCAGGATAACTGGACAGCTTAGACACTGAGCGCAAGATTAAATTAATGTACATGCTTAATGTTTTGCTTGTACCTACATCTTCCTTGCTGAATGTGCTCGTTCTTGCTGAATGTGCTCGTTCTTGCTGAATGTGCTCGTTCTTGAAACACTATAGCTATATAAATTTGTCACACGTTTCTACATACAGCAAAGCACCTTAAAGAGACCATGTATGAAAAAGGTATATGTATATCTATGATAACAATAAGCTAGCTCCACCGTGTGACCACTGGGTAGTAGGCCTACCTTCCATGGGGCTTCACACACACTTTTTACCCAAACACCCGTGAACACTATATATATATATTATATATATAGTAGATATCTATGGGCCATGCTACATATTGTACACAATTCCCCTTCAATTTCGTAGAACTTTTAAGCCATTCTGGGCCATGACCTCATCGTGCCACCTCAACAATCCGACCCTGCGACCCGCCGAATGCTCGTCTCAAGGATCGTGTAGGGAACCCAACATAGAAAACATGTGCGGTACTGTCTGGGCTCGAAACTGACAGCTTACAAATTGGTCATTTGACACCTTCAAACAAGACTAAATCGACTCGCCGCCGCGAGTTAACTATAATTGACTCAAATCCGCCGCCAGGTTTCGCACAGCCGACTGCAGACTATGGCCTTAATGACATAAGCATGGCTCGGCCGATTGTCGCCGCACACCTCTCCGCGAGTCAGCGCTTTGTACGCGCACCTTGCCGTGCTATCGTATCATCTGACCCCGATGTTCCGGCTAGTGCGCAGGCGACAGACCGAGCAGGGCGCCGTGAATGTGTTACAGAGGAAACACCCGGGATGAGCTGCTCATCGGCCACCCTCGGCCGAGTGACGTACACCGGCCCCTTGACCTCGGGCATCATGAATATGCAAATTCTTTCATCTTGCACGTAAGCATCAATTGGAGCGCGTGCGTGCGGTCGTTACGAATACGCGCGTAAGCGGCCAGGGAATGCCACCATTGTTCCTAACAATTGCGACGTTCCAGCACCAGGTACGAAATCTAGGTGTGTGCGTCTAGGTGTGTGCGAAATCTAGGTGGGTGCGTGCGTGTGTCTGTGCATTCGTGTGTGGGTGTGCGGGCGTGCGTTCGTCCGTTTGTACGTGCATTCGGGGTGGTGGCGGACGGGGGGGGGAGCGGACGGGGCGCGGGGCTTGTGGGATAAGTGTGTGTCCATACGGCTTCACCAGGAAAACACATGGTATCAACAGTATCAACTACTACAATTTCGTTCCTCTACATTTACGTTTGCTCTAACGTGGCACACGCTCTGTTTGTTCATCATTCATAGAAGTGCGGGAATAAAGATTGCCAGACAGGACTCTGAATTTTGGTAATTATGGCTAACAGCAAGCTCGGATGCCTGCGCGTGTATCTGATGAAGGACGTATCAGGCAGAGTAAACGTCCACTATTGTTCGGCATCAAGGAGGTTTCAAGATGTACGACCGCGCGAACCACCAACGCTACATGCGTTCATTATAGTCGGCGAACTTGCAGAATTCAAGGCCAATGACCGCTGAACTAACAGACGTATATAAGAAAATCACAATCGGTGCTTAATATCTATGACAGGGTCAGCTGAAAACGGCGCGTATAGCTTGCAGGCGTCAATGCAAGCAATGCCTACACACATTCCTACTGTTCTACATTTTTAAACAACGACTAACCCATGCAGACATTAAGCTCAAGGCCGTTTCGTCTAATGTCAATATATAAGTAGGGGGGAAGTGTCTGCGTAGGCCGTAGGGTAACACGTTTAGACCTTGCGTGCAACTACTTCAGGGTGATTCAATGAACTTTAGTACATCGCGTGTAGACATACGATGGAATTTAACAGACCAGGGTAATTGTCGTGGAATTGATGGCATGAAAAAAGACGCTTAACGTAATAGGAAATTCCTCAGCACTTGTTGGACTAAAACTACAAGTGACACATTGACAGTGAGACTTTAAATGATTGTCACTGAATAGAATGTAACTGAGTTTCCCATCTAAGTGTCGATCTACGTCTAATATGCTCGTGTTCGTAAGTAAAGTATATGTGTTCTAGCATTGCGCCAATTTTTTAGTGCTATTTATATCAACATCATTATATGATTGATGGATAGGCAGGTGAAGTAATGCCGTTGTACCGCCGAATGCCTAACACTTGCACTATTGCATTGTCCGCTTGCACATGGCGTTGACCCGGAGTATACATTAGGATTTTACGCGATCGAGTAACACGGAAGAATTATCATACTCTAACATCTTAATGGCAGTTACCACGCCAGATGACGTGCGAGAAATAGACCGCCGTCCGCGTGGGGCGGTTAGTAGCCGCGTCCAGTTAATACAACTACGATATTCGCGGTCCGGTGGCGTCTTCTGCGAAGCGCTCGGTTCGGCGGCCGCCATTTCGTGAAGTTAACAGCGAGCGAAGATCCTAACGCGACCGGGTAGCTTTTAAAACGTGTGTAATCGTTTAATCTATTACAATCAAGTAACCTTTCACGCGCTTGTGCGCGTAGGATAAAGCGCGAGTTTTGTCCGGCATAAGCGCTGCTAACCGGCAGCGACAGGCTCTTTTTCCGCAATGGCGTCACACGCACGTGTATAGCGCTTAGTACTGCCGGCCGCAGCTGCACTCTTGTACGCTAATTTCAATATGCACCGAATGAAAAATAGATGCATCGCAGTGCGCGGTACGGCCAACATGGCGGCTATTCAAACAATGTGATTGGAATGCCGGGAGTGTAACAGAAACTTTTCCGTTTTGCTGCACCTCGAGCTAGAGCGAAAATGTTTGCTGTCGATGTCTACATTGTCGTCTCGATCACACCGACCGAAGCTCAACGAGGGGTCAATTTAAATTGCTTGCCCAGCGAGACATAGTGAGCCTGTTGCTGGGCAGGGTCTGCTTCTGTGACTGAAGAGATTGATCTTAGATTCCAACGAGAACGAGAATGATCGCAGCGAATTAACTTCCAGCGCTTGCATCTCGCACCTTCCTTGATGGTTTTCATATGCAATGTGCAACATTTGAAAATATAAATCGAAACTGCATGTATTCAATTATAACTTCACGCGACGTAAGTAATAGTACAAACACCATCTGGATTTAGCTCTATACGACT